ACACAGCAGATGCTTTCCAGATCAAGTGATCTTTAACAGACATCTTGCAGACGTATGTGTGCTATCTGGGTAAAGTCTCTAGCAGCGCCGAGCTAGCGCTTAGGCCAGCTAGGGACCGTCTACAAAGTACATGTAAAGGATAAAACGATTAATATTTTCCCACCGGATTTTTTTTTTTTAAACAATTAACAAAACAAGAGCAATTTGTACACCAAGGTCTTTGAAAGATATAAAGACAAACACTTATAACGCTCACTTGAATTTAAATAAGAAATATTGTAAGCAAGATATGTGATTATGTGTTTATTATTATATTATTACTATTAATAAATATATTAATACAAGAAAAACAATATTAAAAATCATTATCATTCCATAATCCAGTGGTTATGCAGTAGGCTGATTCCAGGTCCTTGTGAGAACATTTTAATGTTTGTTGTTTTCACAGAAGTATGACACCAAAAAAGTACACACTATTAAAATTTAAACATATACAAATTAATTTAAAATAAATACACTCTTCTGTATCATCCTCATGGTGTGTGTCTTGTTACTGTTTTTATAAGAACATTTTTATGTTTGTTTTAGTCACAGAACTATAACAGAAAACATGCTACTGAAATTCAACAATTAAGACAAAGCTGGCAAAGAGTGTTGTTTTGCAGTTGTTTTGACTTGAATTTGAAAATCACATTTTTAATAAATTAATTTATAACACCGTTTTATTACACAACTTCAATGGGTGTGTCTTGTTACAGATTAGACAAACATTTTGATGGTGGTTTTAGCCACAGAACTATAATTGAACACATACTATAGAAAATGAAACCAATACATCATTTAGTTTAAAATAAATACAATCTTCTACCTCAGCTTCAAAGGCTGTCTTGTTACAGATTTCTTAAATAACATTTTGAAGTAGTTTTCATTGTCAAAAGAGATGCAGAAGGCATTCAAAAATCACTTGCTAAACCTTCCAAAGAGTCTCCAGTATTACTGCCCCCTAGAGGACGATACTGCAGTTGTTTTGACTGAGTTTGACATCCAAACCTTTAATAAATTAATTTAAAATGCATACAGTTTTCCATCTCAACTTCAAAAGTTGTGTCTTGTTAATTGGGCCTAAAAGAGCATTTCTATGCAGGTTTTACTCTCATTTGTAAATCAGGACACATGCTATTGAATGAAATTAAAATCTGTTCATAAATGAATTTAAATGTATGCAGTTTTCCATCACAACTTCAAAAGCTGTGTCTTGTTACTGGTTTGTAGAAGAGTATTTTAATGTTGGTTTTAGCCACAGAATTATGAGAGAACACATGCAATTGAAACTGAATAGCCAATTAAATTGTTTATTAAGCTGATTAACCAATACATCAATTAGTTAAAAATGCAATTTTCGAACTAATTTTCAAAAGGTCCGTTTTGTTTCTTTAAAAACACTCTTATGTTTTGTAAGAGGGATCACACAAAATGCATGTTATTTTTTTAGTACTGTCCTGAGTAAGATATTTTGCACTAAAGAGGTTTACATATAGTCCACAAGACAAAATAATAGCTGAATTATATCAGAAGCTTCAGAAGAAACCTATATGTTTCCCATGTTACCTGGAGAGTTTTTCTGAAGAATAATGGACAGTTTAACTGCTCAGGACAAATAAGGGACTCATGAACAACTACCCCCCCCAAAAATAAAAAAATAATGGAGTTTAAATTCCATATTTCCTGATTTACATACGAGAGTAAAGCCTGAATTGAAATGTTAATTTAGGAACCAGAAACAAGACACACCCTTTGAAGTTGAAATAGAAGACTGTATTGATTTTAAATTAATTTATTAAAGGTTTAAATGTCAAACTCAGTCAAAACAACTGCAGTATCGTCCTCTAGGGGGCAGTAATACTTGAGACTCTTTGGAAGGTTTCGCAAGTGATTTTTGAATGTCAATAGCGTGACTTCTGCATCTGTTTTGACAATGAAAACTGGAAAATGTTCTTTAAGAAATCTGTAACAAGACACAGGCTTTGAAGCTGAGGTAGAAGATTGTATTTATTTTAAACTAAATGATGTATTGGTTTCATTTTCTATAGTATGTGTTCAATTATAGTTCTGTGGCTAAAACCACCATCAAAATGTTCTTCTAGGAATCAGTAACAAGACGCACCTTTTGAAGTTGAGATGGAAAACTATGCATTTTAAATTAATTTATTAAAAGTTTGAATGTCAAAGTCTTAACAAATGCAACATGTTCCTCTAGGGGGCGGTGTACTGCTCAATCTGTGAAAGGCTTTGTGAGCTTTTTGCTC